TCATAAAAAACTGTTCCATATCTCCTTCACACAATAAATCATAAACATATTCCCTCAGTCATCATAAAAGTGAAGGTTTCTTATTCAAAGAAATACCTTATATTTTCACATCAAACCATTTTACTCTATCTTGACGGGACCTATATTAGAGAGAAGAGAGAACTAAGCTTAAATGTTTGCTTGGAAAGAAATGAAATTAGGCACATCTGGTCTCAAGCATGTATTTGTGGGTGGAGGAAGAGCTAGGAAAACAAGAGCAACCAAATATCTGGCACTTCCTCCATTTGCTACAGAAGTGCTGCAAACATTACAATGCTGGCAGCTCCCTGAAGTTAGGATGTTCGGGTCTGCATTAATAATATAAATGCTAACCACTTCCTCAATAAAGGGATCCTTGCTTCAAACCAGAAATAGGAAACTGCTGTACAACTTTTATCAGTGTCTCAGAGAAAGGGATCATGCTTCTAACTTGAGCCTTTCTAGGCAGCATCAAATCAGAAAGCCACAATTAGAGAGTAGGACTGCAATGCCTAGTAACATGCTACAATCAATCACTCTTTTTTAACTTTTCCCACTATAGTTTACCATTCTTGCAGAGACGTGGCAAACCGAGTCAGCTATAGGAACAGAGCTTCCAACTTTGGATCTGGGTGGGAATCATGTTGTTCTTTTGATGTTACTTAACCACCACCCTCTTCAGATGCAGCCAAAGTAAGGAATGTAGTCCAGCAACACCAAAAAAGAATCAGACAATCCCCAGTTTATATCCATGTGAACATTATGTCCTTGGGAAGAGTCAAGGAATGGCAGTCTTAGAAAGGAAAATCCCTTTGGAGACCTTTAATTTAAATACTGCTTCAAGACATTATTTACGCTGTAATACCATGAACATTGCTGGCCTACCAGCAAAGCAAGTTCTATCAAAATTATATGGGACATCTACATAAAATGCTCATAGGATTACATTTTAGGATTATTTGAAAAGCATCCAAATGTGTTTTTGCATTCAAGATGTGGCAGTTTCCACTGACTAAGAGAAGCATAAAGTCCATCTTCAATCCAAAATAGCTTAATGTACAAGGATAGACAAATACAACAGTAGACTTTTGGACTGTGACTACCAAAATCCCCCAGATATGCTACCCATTTAGTTCCCCAAACAAACATCCCAAGGAACAGAAGAGTTCAAAGAGTATGTAGATCTTGCAAGAGAAGAGGCTGATCTCTTGATGATCCCTTGGCTTCATTTTACTAGTCCAAGTAACTATCGTTTGCCACTGCCACAAATCCAACTGGGCGCACTTTATTCACAATCCAACAGTGATATCTTTTCACCTGAATGCAAAGTTTCATCACCAGCACTCACTAAACACATCTTCCTATCGGATCTGATTTGTCATCGGTCCACTCCTTCAGGATTCATGCAAATCTCTCATTTGCCAAAATATACGATCCTGTGCTTTTCTGGCCGAATACCTCATTGGTTCATCCCACTGAATATGAGATCTACCCAAGGGATGCTTGTGATCTCTTGGTATCCAGTTCGTCAGTCAACATGTCCATCAGTTGTCTTCTGTTCATGCTATATGCCCTGCCCATCTTCGTTTTGTCTCATAGATTTATTCAATGAAGCTCTTTATTGCTGACTTTATCTGATATTGTCATGCCACACATCTTTCTTTTCATTGATCTCTGAGTCATTTTTTTTTCTTTTTTTCTTTTTTTCTTTTTTTTTTTTTTTTTTTTTTTTTTTTTTTTTTTTTTTTTTTTCTTTTTTTTTTTTTTTTTTTTTTTTTTTTTTTTTTTTTTTTTTTTTTTTTTTTTTTTTTCTTTTTTTCTTTCTTTTCATTGATCTCTGAGTCACCGCCAGTTTTATTTCCTCTAACTTTGCTGTTGCCCATGTTTCAGATGTGAATACTATTGCCATAAAACTGTAGTGTTAAAGATATCTTATTTATTTATTAATGCGCTTGTATACCGCTAATATCTCAGCCTAAATCGGCGACTCATTGCGGTTTACAACAGTTAAAAAACAATATTCAATTTAAAAGCATAAAACACATATACAATACAAGTTATTGGGCCACCAATAACAATCCCATGCATCTCGTAACTGAAATCGCAATCCAAAATTCGTCGTCCATGATTACCCATCCTTTAGTCATCAAAATTCGTTGCAACGGATTAACCGAATGCTTGTTTAAACATCCATGTCTTCAATCTTTTCCGAAACACCATCAGCGAAGGGGCTGATCGTACCTCTATGGGGAGGGTGTTCCAAAGCCGAGGGGCCACCACAGAAAAGGCCCTGTCTCTCGTTCCCACCAGCCGCACTTGTGAAGCCGGCGGGATAGAGAGCAGGGACTCCCCAGAAGATCTTAGGGTCCTGGTGGGCTGATAGGCTGAGATACGTTCGGATAGATAAGTTGGGCCAGAACCGTTTAGGGCTTTAAAGGCTAACGCCAGCACTTTGAATTGAGCCCGGTAGCATATCGGCAGCCAGTGGAGCTGGTGCAGCAGAGGAGTTGTGTGCTCCCTGCGCCCCGCTCCTGTTAGTATCATGGCTGCCGCCCGTTGGACTAATTGGAGCTTCCGGGCAGTCTTCAAAGGCAACCCCACGTAGAGAGCGTTGCAGTAGTCTAAGCGGGATGTAACCAGAGCGTGGACTACCGTGGCCAAGTCAGACTTCCCAAGGTACGTGCGCAGCTGGCGCACAAGTTTTAACTGTGCGAATGCTCCCCTGGTCACCGCCGAAACCTGGGGTTCCAGGCTCAGCGATGAGTCCAGGATCACACCCAAACTGCGAACCTGCGTCTTCAGGGGGAGTGCGACCCCGTCTAACACAGGCTGTAACCCTATACCCTGTTCGGCCTTGCGACTAACCAGGAGTACCTCTGTCTTGTCTGGATTCAATTTCAATTTGTTCGCCCCCATCCAGACCGTCACAGCGGCCAAGCACCGGTTCAGGACCTCGACAGCCTCCTTAGTAGCAGGTGGAAAGGAGTGACAGAGTTGGACATCATCTGCGTACAGATGACATCGCACTCCGAAACTCCGGATGATCTCCCAGCGGCTTCATGTAGATGTTAAACAACATGGGAGACAGTATTGAACCCTGAGGAACCCCACAAGACAAAGGTTGTGGGGTTGAACAGGAGCCCCAATAGGGGACATCAACAGGAATACACGTTTAGCCTGAAGAAGAAAAGGCTGAGAGGAGACATGATAAGGGTCATGTATAAGTATGTGAGGGAAAGTCATAGGAAGGAGGAAGCAAGTTTGTTTTCTGCTATCCTGGAGACATAAACTACAGGAAAGGGGATTCCACTTGAACATTAGGAAGAACTTCCTAACTGTGAGAGCTGTTCAGCAGTGGAACTCTCTGCCCCGGGTTGATGCTCCTACTTTGGAGGCTTTTAAACAGCGGCTGGTGTTTGAATGCAATTTTCCTGCTTCTTGGTAGAATGGGGTTGGACTGGATGGCCCACAAGGTCTCTTCCAACTCTATGATTCTATGAAATAAAAATACAGCTACACTGCTTTAAAGTTAACTCCTTCAATAGGAAGAACTAGAAGAACTATGTAAGGATGAGCACGTCAACATGAGCGCATTGGGGACTGTTCTTAAATTGAATTTGTAAGTTGGAACAGGTACTTTTTTCAGGTGTAACCCCAGACAATTTTATTTTTAATATTGGATAGCATAGGGAAGGGTTAACACCTCATGTGGTGTTTGTTTTACTGTCTATGCCCCAGTTTAGAAGAGTTCACCTCATTTTCTGTCCCTGTGAGAATTGGATTTTGAACAAAGTGGCTTGTTGTGGAAACAAGGATTGGTGAGAAAGCTTCAGTGGAGACACCTTTCCCCCAGAATAATAACTCTCCCAAGAGTGAATTTGCCTTCCAAGGGGAAGATTTCTCATATTTCCTGTTGTCTCACCCCTGTTCTTAACCATGAGTTGTTTTGTAAGTCAGATGTTTTTGACTTGGGAACTGCCTGTATATAAGATACACAATTAATTCCCTAGTGGAAAGAAACATCTTGCAACCCTGCTAACAACACACACACCTCTCTCAAATATAACTGTGTTGTGATAGAGGGTTTTCCCTGTATGCCAAGTGTTGAATGTTTGTGGGTTCTTGGGATTTTTTTTGTGCGTGTCAGGAGCGACTTGAGAAACTGCAAGTTGCTTCTGGTGTGAGAGAATTGGCTGTCTGCAAGGACATTGCCCAGGGAATGCCCGAATGTTTTACCATCCTGTGGGAGGCTTCTCTCATGTCCCCACATGGGGAGGTGGAGCTGACAGATGGGAGCTCACCCTGCTCCCTGGATTCCAACCGCCAACCTTTTGGTCAGCAGTTCTGCCGGTGCAAGGGTTTAACTCATTGCGCCACAGGGTTCAGGGGAACTTTTCGGTCAGCAGTTCTGCCAGCACAAGGGGTTTAACCCACTGTGCTCCAGGGACTACTGGATCAGGGGGTGCATGAAAGAAAGAATGCAGTTTAACACCAGTTGAACTGTCTTGGCTCAGTGCTATGGGATCATGGCGCTGTAGTTTTGGCATGGGCAAACTTCGGCTGCAATTGTGGGAGTTGGGGTCCAAAACACCTGGAGGGAGGGCTGTAGTTTGCTCATGCCTGACTTTGAGCTTCCTCTTTGGGAGCGTGTTGTTGCTTGACCCAACTTTCTGGACTGTAGGTCAAGGGCTGTGGATGCTCCCAGGAGTGAGTGCGCCACCGAGGCTCAGCTTGGCACCTGTGGGCACGATGCATGCCTGGGCGCCGCTTCCCCGGCTCTCTTCGGCCCTCCGCGTGACATTTAAACCCGAGTCACAGGAGCCGAAGAAGCCTTTGAAGGCAGCAAGCCTTTCGTACCTGGCTCCGGCCGGCGCGCTGACGTCAACAGGTAAGAACACAAAGAGGGAGGGAGGGAAGGGAAGCCGGGTGCCTTCGCCTCTCCTTCGTGCCTTCGCCCGGGACTCACTCACTCACTCACTCACCTGGAGGGAGACGCCGGGGTGTCTGCGGGCTCCTTGGCGTTGCTCTCCGCCGCTTCGCTGCTGCTAAGGCTGCCATGGCTGGGGTGGTAGGCGGTCAGCACCACTCCGGGAGAAGCAGACCAGCGGCTCATGGTGGCGGCAGCAGCCCGGGCATAGTGGACTCCCCGCCGCCAGCCCTGCCGACGACGACGACTCCGCCAAGTTCCTGCTCGGCCTCCCCGCCCCAGCGGAGTTTCAGCCTTATTAGCATGGCCACGCCCCCTTTGGGACCAGGGACAAGGAAGGAGGGAGGGAAGGAGGAGGAGGAGGAGGAGGAGGAGGAGGAGGAGCTCCCGCAGCCCAGCCCTCCTTCCTGCCCTCCTCCCACTGGAGTCCCGGCTCAAAGCTTTCTCTTTTCCTCTTCGCAAAGCCATGGGGTCTTTCATCCAGGGGTCTTTCATCCGTCCGCCGTCATCACCCCGTTATTCGCCCCAGCACACCCCACACGCCCCGCAAGACTTTCTTCAGTGTTTCTTCACCTTCCTAATGCCGCGACCCCTTAATACAGTTCCCTCCTGTTGTGGTGACCCCCCAACCATAACATTATTTTCTTTGCTGCTTCATAATTTTGCTACTGTTATGAAGCGTCATGTAAATATCTGATCTGCAGGATGTATTTTCATTCACTGAACCAAATATGGCACAAATACCCAACATGCCCAAATGTGAGTACTGGTGGGATTGGAGAAGGGATTGATTTTGTCACTTGGGAGTTGTAGTTGCTGGGATTTATAGTTCACCTACGATCCAAGAGCATTCTGAACCTCACCCAGGGGCGGCTCAACCCATTACGCAAAGTAAGCATTTGCAGTATAGTTGATTTTGCCAGGGGTGCTCTTGAGGCGCTCTTGGGGGAAAATAGACCTTGACATATGCAAGTTGTTGTTACTGGGGTGTATAGTTCACCTACAATCAAAGAGCATTCTGAACTCCACCAATGATGGAATTGAACCAAATATGGCAGACAGAACTCCCATGACAAACTGAAAATATATATCAATTACTGGTTGGGAGGGGCACCAAAATACTGTTTGCTTACCATTGAAAATTACCTAGGACCACCTCTGACCTCACCAACAATGGAATTGAACCAAACTTGGCACACAGAACTCCCATGACCAACAAAAAATACTGTAAGGGTTAGTGGGCATTGACCTGGAGTTGTAGTTCACCTTCATCCAGACAGAACTGTGAACTCAAAACTATTTAATTATTTATTTAAAATATTTATATTCTGACCTTCACACCCCGCAGGGGACTTAGGGCAGATTACAATGCACATATACATGGCAAACATTCAATGCCATTTAGACATACAACATATATAGACAGACACAGAGGCAGTTTAACATTCCAGCTTTTCTAGCTTCATGAGGGTATGCATGATTCCAGCCACAGGGGGAGCTAGCATTTCACTGTCCACTTGTGACACCTTGATGGAGTACTTCCTCATTCTTACACACACTGCTGGAAGGTTTTTTTATGGTATTGTAAATTAGTTAAGTTAACCTCCCTGCATAAAGTGGTACCTAAATTTCCTACTTGACAGATGCAACTGTCTTTCGGGCTGCGTATGTCGACAGCAAGCTCGACTATTAATGGTCCGGTGCTTATTCCGACCTGAGCTAGCTTCAAACTCATGACCTCTCAGTCAGTAGTGATTTAATGCAGCCCGGTACAATGATAGATCTGGAGCAAACTTGGCACGGATACTCAATATGCCCAAATGTGAACACTGGTGGAGTTTGGGGAAAACAGACCTTGACATTTGGGAGTTGTAGTTGCTGGGATTTATAGTTCACCTATTATCGAAGAGAATTCTGAACCCCACCAACCATACAATTGGGCCAAACTTCCCACACAGAACCCCCATGACCAACAGAAAATACTGTGTTTTCTGATAGTCTTTGGCAACCCCTCTGACACTCTCCCCGTTGCAAACACCCCCCCCCCCCCCGCCCCAGGGTCCTGAACCCCTTGTTGAGAAACTCTGCCTTAGTTGAAAGGAAGGATGCAGATCTAGGTATGCAGTCCCCATGTTACAAAAAAGATAGGTTTTGTTGGTTTGTTCTTAAGTTAAATTTGTATGGAAGTCAGAACAGGTACATTTTTAAGTGTTATTCCAGTCACACACACAAACACACACACACACACACATAGGATGATTATGCAGAAAATAAGGTTACAAGATTTTTTAAAAAATACAAAGAATGAATATATTTTAATAAAGCTTACATGAATTGTAGTATAGGTTTTACATTATTTTCCCACATAATCACCATTCAGTTCAATGCATTTTGTCATCCATGGGATGAATTTTTGATGCCCGTGTCATAGAAGTTTCCCACTGCCTTTTTGGCCACTTCATCACCTTGATTTTCACTTCCTCCTTGCCAGAAAAGTGTTTTCCGCCAAGGTGTTCCTTCCATTTAGTGAACAGATGATAGTCACTGGGTACGAGACTGGGGCTGTGAGAGGGGTAGCTTAAAACATCCCAACCAAATGAAGTCAAGAACTCTTGTATTGCATGAGTGGTATGTGGACACACTTTGTCATGAAGGAGACAGACTCCCGCCATCAGCATCTCATGATGTTGTTTTGGATGGCTCTGCTAAGTTTCTTCATCGTCTCACAATATATTCCATACCCATTTTGTGACATGCTGTCTTGACATTACATCCTCTCCATAAACTGAAAAAAATGAATTGCAGCAGCATTCATGCCCTTAGCATTTAAGTAATGTATTACAGCACAGACTTCGCATTTGGAGAGAAAGGGAATGAGCCATGCTTGGCTACAAAGGAAAGAAAATTAAAACACCTGAGATAAAAGTGGAATTTAAGATGGAATTTGTAACTCTGGTTAAATTGCGATGATAGCCTTTCTTCCTCAATATAAATATGTTGCTGTTACATTTATACTCTGCTTTACTCTCTTGATCAAGACCCAAAGCGGCTAAATGTATTTACTTAACCTTCAAATAATTGCCATTGTTATTGTTTATTCATTCAATCATATCTGACTCTTTGTGACCTCGTGGACCAGCCATAATTGCTATATTAATACCAATTAGAGTGTATGCACTTTTAGGACACTCTCTGTATGTATGTGTGTGTGCAGTATATATATGGAGGGCGCAGTTTATTTTAGCATGAACGATCACAGTTTACAAGCCATTTGTGCAGTTGCATTCTTCTGGCCTTGGGCATCTTGGGCCTTTTCGCCCTCCCCCTACCCCACACTTTTCTGAGCTTTTTGTGCAACACAGCACAAACTGAGCATGCTTCTTAGTCCTTTTTTTTATTGGACTTTACAGGACGGTTTTTCAGTGCCTCCAGCAGAAGTCCCAACAACAGTCATGAAAAAATGGCCTTCAGAGTTTCGCTTTTAAAAACAAAAACAGAATGCAAGCAAACAGTCATTGGTTTCTGTGGTGAGCTTCTTTTCTCTTATACCTCTCTCAGATTGTCATAAGAAAAGGCTTTGAGGGAAACGGCAAGCAACCCAGTACCACACACAACAAACAGAATTGGGAAGAAACGTACATGATGGGCACAGTGGAGAAGCAAGCAGTGAATCTGGTTGTAAATTCAGATTGTACAGCCAAGAACAGGGAATGTCCTGGAAATTAAATTGTAAACTGCTCTGAAAGTCTTTTTGGCTAAAGCATGGTATATGAATGCTTTATATAAATAAATAACAGTGTTCTTAGCCTATGAATAAGACTCATGTTAAAATAAGTCTTTCTGGCCACATATAATTTATCTTTGCTTTGACTTTCTTTTGAAAAGACCATGTCATTTGCAAACCACTCCTATGGTCCTTTATCCACTCCCCTATCTGTGTCCGTTCTGTTTCTTTGACTGCTTATGATGATGACTGAAGAAAAATGCATTTGCCAGACAGAAGATCTTTGTTTCATTTCAGACAATCAATATGCCCACGTTATATGGGTGGGCAATGCAGCTAACAAAAAATGTTTGTTTGCTTTGGAGATGAACTTGGTAATTTTATTATATTTATTTGAAAGACTATCATTAATTACACTATGTCACATGATTATATTCCTGGGTTATAAATGTCATTTCCTAATTGGTTCTATCATTTAAAAAACATGGAACATGTTTATTAAACTGAAAAAAACTTGGTTTTGTGGGACAACTTGCAGCCCATTTTGCTGTAGCTTTTCAATGAATATCTCATTGAACCTCAACTAATTCAACATATGTGTTGTTGAGCACTTTCATGACTGGAATCACAGGGTTGCTGTGAGTTTTCCAGGCTCTATGGCCATGTTCCAGAAGCATTCTCTCCTGACGTTTCATCTCACAATCTCTGAGGATGCCTGCCATAGATGTGGGTGAAACATCAGGAGAGAATGCTTCTGGAACATGGCCATATAGCCTGGAAAACTCATGGCAACCCCGTCATTCAACACAGTTTGTGGCAGCTACAAAAACTGACATTTCTGGAGTATAACACTTTTAAAGTAAGTGCCGCAAAATTAAAGAGGAAATAACACTTTCAATAACACTTTTTCAAATGTTTGTTACATAGTGTACCAGTAGGGCTACTCTGACAAATGTTCAGATTATACTTGAAAGATTAAAATCAATTACACATTGGAATAGTTTATAGATGGAAAATGTAGCATGGTGGTTTGAGTACTGGACTACAACTCTGGATAACAGGGTTCAAATATTCACTCAGCTGTGAAATCTCACCAGTTTTTGGCATGCACTCTTACCCTCAGAAAATCCTGAGTTGGAAACAACTAAAGGCACACAACAAAAGGTTATTTTGGACTGCAATCCTCATGATCACACACCACTGGCTATGCTGGTTAGGACTGATGGGATTTGCAATCTAACAACATCTAGACCACTATATCATACCTATGCTATTGATGAAGCTTTTCACCAGAAAAGTTCCTTTCCAGTGGTTGGTTACACCAGTGTTTTTCAAACTGTTGGTCCATTAATCTGTGTTAGTCAACAAACCATTGACCATCCCTTGTGAGTTTTCCAGGAAAGAAGGAAACAATTATACTCAATGGTCACAAATATGAGACCCGGGGAAGAGTTGCTGGCCCTCTATATTACATAGTTTGAGGTGCATGGAACTGCCATTCATTATTCATTCATATTCAGTGATTTTTGACCCAGAGAATGTCACTTGCCCAGTTTTCAGTTCCATCCTATACATATTTATTTGC